ACGAGTTTGTTTCAAAATTTCGCCACACCCCCTTCCGCCCCCGCAAAGGATGCAAATCTGGGGATATTCACAAATCTCAAAGACTTTTAACGCTAGAGTAACCAAATTTGGAATCCGCACTTCTCTTAGATCTCACTATAAAACGTTTATCTCAAAATTTCGCCCCACCCCCTTCCGCCCACACAAAGGACGAAAATCTGTTGCATCCACAATATTGCAGATTCGAGAAAACTAAAAACGCAGAATCATAGATAACGACCATATCTATCAGATTGCTGAATCTGGATCAGATCAGATAATTTTTGTAGCCAAAAGGAACAAATCAATTTGCAGTGGCTACGCAGCGCCCGACGTCACGCTCAGACTGATTTTCTGTCTCTCTCGCACGCACTCTTTGTCGTGTCGTTATATATTAGCGGCGTCTGCCGGAGGAGAGCCATACTGACTTAGTATCGGGTATAACCGTAGAGTTGCGGTGTCCGCAGCAACTCACAACGTTCCCCCTCGTTTGCATTTATGTTTGTGTCTGATATGGCACGGGCGACAATACACGGGAATGCGTGCGTATGTGGCAGGTCTTTCTGACCTCACCAGGTGGGGCAGCACTGTCGCCCAGGAAAATCTTTATCGCCAATAGTTAATAGAAAAGGGAAATATATAAAAAACCATCAGCCATGCTCCCTGTACTCCGCAGATCGGAAGTTAACAAAGAAACTTGAAGAAGATTCGACGAAGTGAAATTGAGAGAAAGTTGATCGTCGACATGCAACAAAATCGTTGCATGTGGTCCAGTGTAAAGTGAGGTTTACATATGCGTATACATATGTATATGTGTATGTGTATGTGTGTTGGACTTGCGGAAATGCCGATGCCTATGCCGTTGTTGCTCTAGGTCCTGTTCTTATTATTGCTTCTCCTAATGTTGCTGTTGCTCTTGTGTGACTTGGGGCGTGGCATGGAGCAGCTTGTAAACACAACCACAAATTAAAATATGTTTGCTTATGCAATATTCAGTGCAACACTGTTACCGAACGGTAAACTACTCTTACAGCCGATGCCAGTGCATAAATTAAAAGTTTGCAACGTTTCCACCGAGCCAAAGTTTTCCGATCCGAAGCTAATTATGCATAAAGCCGTGAACCATGACACGGGTTGTATTTTCCTTATGGTCTGCTGCTGCTGCTGCTTTTCCCTTCTTTCAGTACAGATCCTGAGAACGGGGCACCAGGAGTGGCATATTATGACAGCTGCCCTGACGGACTGACTGACTGACAGTCTGCGGTGGAAGCGCCTGTCGGCAGCGGAAATTAAACGCCTCGGATTGCGTGCCCGTCACACATAAAACAGCCAACAGAACAGCCTCGGAGGCCATTGGCCGACAAATTGATTAGCGGCTTCGACTGGTGTTAATGGCAGTATAAAACTCTCAAGGCAGGAAGATCACTTGTTCCCACAGTCATGACTGATTGCTTAAACAAGAAAATATCCTTCCATCGAGTTGAAAGGGAAACCGAATGCTTTCTGGTCTTGCCTTGGCCAAGTACCATCAGAGTTAGGCGTCAGATATGCAAGAAAGCTGACAATAATGGGGCTGAGAGTGATCAGAAAAGATTAAGCCATTCATGCGGAAGTGATTTGCACACAAATGACTTAAGTGAGCAACTTATAGGGGAGAAAAAGAAGGTATCCCCGCAATTTAGATCATCAGCAGAGAAGAGAGTATTTTCTGCTTAGACATCGGCCCCTCTTGTTGCCTCATCAATTGGCAGAGTGTTGTCAGTGGGCTCATCATAATGCTTACCAGGCTTATGGGATAGAAACTGGGATGGCTGAAACGAGACCCCAGAAATATGTGCCTGCCTTCTCCGAGTAGTCGCTGATTTATGTGACACACATTAGGACGATCTCCGGTTTTCCCGAGTGCAAATTGAAAGCGTCTGGGCCTAACTACAACTTATGATCGCATTTTATTACATTTTAAAATTAACAATTTCAGTTGCCCGCAGCGGCATTCCAGTGGTTCACTGGTTCCCGATCCGGGTTCCATATTAATGCACTTTTGCGCCCCCGGCCAGGAGAAATTACTCAAAAATGGCGCACAAATTGCAGGCAAGCAGGGCTCGCATAAATTAATCGAGGCCAGGACTAGGCAGAGCTCTGACTCTGACTAGCGAAATTAAAACATTAATCTGCTGGACGATGCCGACGACGGGGCCAAGCCGCACAATAATTAATGTTGGGCTTAAATTTATTAATTTATTTATAAACCCAAAAAGTGCAACCCAAAAGAGGTGCGAATCCGAGTTCGAGAATGAGAATGGAAATGGAAACAGAAGTACCACAATAAAAACTAAAGACAGAACCCTATAGAGCCATGGAAGCGCGGTGCACTCTGGGATGAGGCAGCGTCTTTAGCTCTGTCTCTGTTGCCATCTCCATCTCCTTTCCCGACGCGACTCGACTCGACTCTCTTGATCTGTGGGCACTTTTTTTTAAATGTCAGTACGCCCTCTAGGGACAGATTAGCGATTAATCTATGGGGCATGGTCACATGCATCCCCTCTGAACACCGCTGCATCTGCCTTCGTCCTGGACTGTGCTGGCCTCTCCACAGCACTTGGAACGAAGTAACGATTAAAAAATCTCCACATAAAGGACTGAGCACTTAATCAAAGAGGATTTAGAGAGGAATAGGGCAGCGCGAGAGCATTGTACCGGGGTAAAAGCCACGGCAACGAGGACCAGGGCCAAAAGCGTTGACGCGGCGCTTTGTTTCTAGCCGCATACCCTGGCAACTATCTGATGTGGCATATCAGCACTTCCATTTAGTTGGTGACCTGTAGATTATCGGGCCCCTTTGACAGGTAGCCTTCGCAGATAAGGCAGAACGGAGTTGAAGGTGTTTGTCTTTGTCTTAGGGCTATTTCAGGCATTTTCCTGGCATATAACACGGTCTGGCTATCGATTTTACTCAGTTGAAGCAAAACAGTTTCGCACCTAGGAAGTGTAGGTGCGGTAAGAGACCGAGAACTCTTCCGGTATTCCTCTCTACGTACGGGGTATTTACCAGTCGTGTATGCCCAGTAAGCGCTCTTCTTACTTGGTTTTTAACTACATATTACAAGCATTTTTATTTCGCTAAGCGTTGCTCATAGTTTTTGGTGCGCTTTTTCATTTCGATGCAGCTCCTCTTCGCCTCTTTGGACTGAGGTCCCGGTCCCCGCCTCATAACAGACCTTAAATAGTGGCAAAGACATTTCACAGACGCTGCCGCTCTTGGCCTTCGCTGCATTTGTCAATTTGCTACGAGTCGAAAGGGGCGTGGCCGAGCATAAAAGTGATATATGTGAGCGCTGAGTTGGCAATTTTCGTATGAATTGGCCAAGTTGCTGCTGTTGCCGGTGCTGTTGCTGCTGCTGCCGTTCGCTTTATGAATTTCTTTATGGCCAACCTATAAAATATTGTGATTGTGCAGCATGGGGCAGCATGTGGAGGAGCGACCCGAGCGCAGTTGAAATTAAATGCTCGCTGCTTGATTTGTTTTGCCCCATTCCCAAGTGGGTTTTCAATGGCGGGCCCCGTCATCAAAAGACCACTCGACCCACGTCCACTCCTGGGCTGGCCCGCAATTATGTCAGAAAGCCGTAAAAGCTGTCCCAAAACATTTTGTGCGCTATGCAGCAGCACATTTTTGGCATTTCCCTGTAATCCTTTTGTGTGCTAATTGGAGCATGCTAGACCGTAAATACCCCACTGGAATATATGGTGTAAGCCCACGAGCCCCCCCCACCCCCCCATTCAGGCACTGCACTGAAAGCGGCTTAGGCCTGCCACTTGTCAGTGCACAAAATCAGAATATTAAATTCACCAATTTACTGGGATTTACATCTCGTGGTTGTACTGAATTTATCTACTCGTATCAGTTCCGGCCACGATGATGGTATTTGGCTCCATTTCATAGTTCAGCGCAGCGAAATCTCTCCCATGGCTTCCCAAAGAGCCATCGAGACCATTTGGTTTAAAGAGATATATAGAACTGAATAATTTCAGTGAATGAATTGCAGCCTAATGATTGCATCATTTTCAGTTTTGTGTAGACAAATAAATACGTATATATGTAGGTACCCAATAACAAATACTGGTTGTCTTGCTTGTGTTCACACTATCCTTTCAAAGCTGATCAACAGATTACTACAACATATACGTATATCAAAGACGTACATATATTTTGGCGCCACCACGCCAAGTTCCATCTCAGATCCACAAAAGGTGTGAAGCGTCAATCCTAACTAGATTACGCACAGTCCATTCCCGCCCCCCTGAAATGTTTTCGTATAGATACAACCCTATCGAATCGACTGTTTACCCACGCATATGCCAAGCACGTGTTCCACTGATGGACCGGGCGTGGTCTGGGTGTGTTTATCGGATTCTAATTTCTGTTCCATGTTCGATTCTTGTTTCATTGTTTACTCGAATGATCGTGACAGAAGCTGTGAAAATAGCCGAAATAAACACAATATAGTCCCATGAGAGATGTATGTATCTATCAGATAAGATAGCAATGATTTGCAAAGAAGAAAAATATGAGAGATTCAAGCCTATCTATGTATGACTTTGTGAACAGCTTATCTCGAGGATTAGAGATTATCAGTTTGCTTGTCGAATGGCTGCCTTATCAGGGAAGACTAAAGTACATGTTACGAGTGTTTAATAGCAGACTTAGACGAATGCCACCCAGTACTCGTCAGCTGCTCCTCTCATTGATTGTGTGGCACTGAGGCTGCCAAGACGTAGTTCATTAATCTATTAAATTATTCTAGACATTTGAAGTGTGGAAGACCCGGACAAGCCCCTCAAGAATTCTGAATTCCAGGTTCGAGCCATGCGATAACTTTCAACTTTAAGTATATGTTTTTTGTACCTGACAGACTGGACAGTTTTCTGGAAAAATTACACAACAGCTCGGAGTGCAAGTAAGTATACAAAATTGGCGTGATCTCCAGGGATTGAATCAATTGAATCTTGCACTTTTGGCTGTGCTTTATGGCCAGATCTATCATGTGACGATCGCATTATAATGCAGAGAGCGTGTGTTTGCCGTATGGCTTGGGCCATTGATTGGCCATCCAATTTGCATATATAATTTATCTGCAATTGTTGTGACATTTTGCCAGCCAACCAGCCCGACTGATGATTGCGCAAAGAGGCCTCTCCGACAGACAGGTTGCCGTTGCCGTGGGAACTTGTTATGTGTGGATGGTGACAAATCTCAGTCTCTGACTCTCTCTCCAACTCACACGCTCTCTCTCTTTTTCTTCTCTGGGCAACTTTCACTGGCAGTTTTGTTTTGGCAGTGTTTCCTTAATTAAGCCATCTTAATGGTTAACTGGGAGTCGGGGTTTCGGTGCCGCTATCTGCCAGCAGACAATGCCTTAATCTGCCAGCTAGATCCGAGTATCTGGCCTGGTCTGGTCCCGGGGCGCACCTTCCCCCAATTAATGAAGCAACAGACTTCATTTACCTACTTAAAGAGTAAAAGTTTGGCCCCAGCCTCGTGGCCTTTTGCTGACAATTGCAGTCGAGATGGAGCTGGAGACGAGGCAGAGATTACTCCTATTTCTAAATGCCATTTGGCAGACACTTAGCTGCCTCGCTGTTCCGCTGTTCCTTCCACTTGTCACGTTGGAGGCTGCTGCTTCTCAGTGGTGCCCCAGTGATCTGCTTCTCTGGTGCTCCGAAGCTCTGCAGCTCTGTCCATGCGGCGGTCGAGTGGGTCTCCATGCCTCGCGCTCTCGGAAACCGGTTCGCCGGGCCCGCAAATGAAATCGCCATCTATTGGGGCTCCATATTTTCACGCCAGTCTGTGGTGAGCCGGGCCGATACACGATACAACCACGTCCACGTCCAGCATCGCTCGATATGTCCAATTTGTGCTAGAGCCAGCAAATATTTGAGAAAGTCTGCCCCCACACACACCCCACCCCAAGTTCGATTTAGTTTCCTACGTAAGTTGGCCTACACTGTCAGAAACGAATAATAGCTAATTCTGTATAGTATTACCAAAATCACAAGATTTTTCTTTAGAAAACCACAAGAGACACTACCTCCACGATGGCGCAAAGAGACAAGCAGCCGCCGCCGCCATCACCGCTGGTTCAGCCAAAGCCAAAGCCAAAATATGAACCGCGTCCGGTGGAGAAGGTTAAGGATCCGATCATCTCCCAAATCGGTGACTTCCGGCGCTATCAGCTCTTCTTTTTCTTAATCATCGTGCTCTGCAAGTTCGGCAGCGGGTGGCACACCCTCGTCCACATATTTCTCGCCGCGCCCACGCCCCAAAAGTGCCTCACAGAGAATGTCACGGATGCCTGCAGCAAAGACTGCAAAAATATGGAGTTCGACACGAGCATCTTCCAAACGACCATCATCACAGAGTGGAATCTGACATGTCGCAGGCACTCGCTGGCTAGCATGTCGCAGTCCATCGTGATGACGGGGATCATGGTCGGAGGCATGGCCTTTGGGATGTTAGCGGATGGGTGAGCATCAGCAACAGGGTATCGGCGATCGATAATATATATCTCGTACACAGATGGGGCAGGCGGCCGGCCTTCTTGCTCTGCTGTTTCATGCAGCTGGTCACGGGATTGATTGTCTGCGTTTCGCCGTACTTCTGGTTCTACTGCGTGTTCCGGTTTCTCGTTGCCGTCGCCACCGGCGGCACCATGACCGTCAGGTGGGTTCTTTCTCCTTTCCGTTGGCCATTTGTCCGCTGAAAGTGCTGTTTTTTTAGCTTTGTGCTGATAATGGAGATCATCGGACCGAAGAAGCGGGAACTGATCGGCATCCTCTATCAGATCCCATTCAACATAGGGCACGCCTCGCTGGCACTGTTCGCCTACTATATCCGGACCTGGCGTTGGTTGCAGTTCAGTGTGACAATATTCTCGGCCATCTTTGTGATCTACATCTGTCTCGTGCCAGAGTCGCCGCGCTGGCTCTTGACCACAGGTCGCGTCGACAAGAGTGTCAAGGTTCTGGAGCGGATTGCCAGGCACAACCGTGCCCCGACAGAGACTATCAAGCCGGAAATAGAGGCTGCTTACCAGGCGATGGCCAGCAAGCAGCCAACGAAGAAAGGTAACGTGCTGGACCTCTTCAGGACCCCGTACCTACGGCTGAAGACCATCTTGATGGCCAACAACTGGCTGGTGGTGTGCATGGTCTACTACGGCGTTGCCCAGTACATAGCCAAGCTGGGCGGCGACATCTTTCTCAACGTATTGATCGCAGCCCTCCTGGGCATTCCCGGGACGCTGCTTTGCGTGGTTCTGACCAAGTACCTGGGACGCAAGCTGACCTTGATGCTCTCCAATGGACTGAGTGCCATCGGCCTGCTGCTGCTGGTCTTCCTATACAAGTCGAAACAGTTATACCAAGTGATATGCGCCACTGTGGGTCTCTTCGGGGCATCCATTACCTTCCCGAACGTTTACCTATACGGGGCCGAGCTATTCCCTACCGTGGTGCGGTCAAACGGCATGGGGCTCTGCTCAATGGTGGGCCGCATTGGAGGTCTCGTTGCCCCCCTGATCAACGAGTTGTCTTGGTATGGGGCTTGGATCACGCCCCTCATTTTTGGAATCGCCTCCATACTGGCCGTGCTGGGGACGATCTTCTTGCCGGAGACGCGGGGAATGCCACTGCCGGAGACCCTCGAGGATGGCGAAAAGTTTGGCCGCAAAGTGAAAACCTAACCAAATACCGACTAACTCACACCATTACCTGCTCTCAAAAATTAATAAATTTCATTTGAATTAGAGATTTGTGCCATTTGATATGTCAGTTGGAGCTAAGTGCGCTCCCAAGCCCAGTCCCAGTCCCATTCCCCAATCCCATTCCAAGTGCCTCGTTATAGACACAATCAGAGGCAGAACCAGAGACAGAGGTAGAGGCAGAGACAGAGCCAGAGCCAGAGACACCTCCAAGCCTTTCGTGTCTGCTGTTCACCAAAGACAAAAACTACAACAAAAACAACAGGAGAAAAAAATTGAAAAATCTGGCAAAATGCAATAGGTAATTACCGTAAAATAACTTCCATTTCGTGATTATTAAAACTGGGCTAGCAGCCCGAATTCGGTTCTCCATGGCATTCGGCACTCCATGCTAACTGGCGACTGTTAATGCGATCTCCTCTGCGACTGACTGGCGTTGTTTAATGTCGTGGTGCAACAAAAAACAGCCTCCAATTCCACTTTTGGCCAAAAGGTAACGGCAGCTAAATGGGAACTTTGCATGTGAGTCCATCGATAACACGTGCAGACGGGCCATTTATGGGATCTATGCTTCTAGAACCAGCAAGAACTGTCCTGGACGTACACTTTTTTACCAAATCATTCTCAGAAACCCAAACAAATTAATCACTGTTTGCCTATTGACAACCCATAGAATTGTTCGATGAACAGTACCAGTAGACTCTTAGAGAAAACCCTCTAAAACCCAATTTTATTAAAGACATTCAAGACATATTCGATCGGTTGAAAAGCCAATGACATGACGAATCCATTAGGTCACTTCCCGCTGATGTCCATACCAATTATCGGGGCCATCTCATCACACCATCTACATCTTCCCTTGGAGCTTTTTCTGGATTGCCTGACCTTGACAAGAGCGATAAAACCGGCTGAAAATTCACTACTCAAGGTTAATATTCATTGTCAACATTGGGCACGCCTCATTTATATGCAACACTCGGTGTCTGCAACAGGCCCTGTCCACTGATTCCCAGTCAAATGTCAGCGGACCAGAGTCGCCACTCGCCAGTCGTCCAGTCGGCACTTGGCTACATGGAGCAGCTCTCATCCTTCGATGTTCCATCGTCACTCAGCCTGAAGCTGATGTTGCTGTTGCTGCTGCAGTTGCAGCCTAGTGGAGCCGGCGGCTCACTCAATCAGATTCGGACTCTGGACTCTGACATGGACTCGGACCTGAGTTGGGGCGAGTTTTTAGCGTCTTCAGCGCTTGGCAGCTTGTCATGTCAGCCGTACGAAAACTGTCAGAATTCGAGGAGCTGTCTTCCCCCCGGATCCCTTCCCCAACTTAAGACCAGACCCGACGACTGCCTCTACCTCTACCACTACCAGTGCCGCTGCCGCTGCCGCTGCCACTGCCGGCGTCGCATACTTAATCAGCGGCGGCGCGTCTTAGTGATAATTACCAGACATTTTTGCAGCTCTCGACGATGCCGCCTCCTGTAGATGTTCGCTGTTGTTTAATGAATTACAAGTGCCGCGCTTCAATGTTGTGCGCTGGTAATTATTCATTGGGCCCCTGCTCCTGATCCTCCTCCACAGCCAAAACAATTTTTAGATACGTGCCATAGGGCGGGCAGACAGACACCACTATGAAGAATGCCATCCAAATAAATCGTTTGAGTGTTTAACATATACAGTGCTTCAAAGAACGTTCTCCCCTTTCTCTGGCATTCAGAATCACAAAAGCAATATCAAATCGGGTCCCGCGGACTTTCATTGCTGCTCGTGGCACATCAATTAGCCAACATTATGAGGCAGCAAAGTTCAAGAGAGGGAAAGTGTCCGGTTGCACAGATGATAATTACAGATTTTAATTATGAGCAAATGGTTATGGCAGCCAACTCGTGCTCATGGCCATAGCTTTGAGGATTAGCCAAGGGAAAAGCTAACTAATCTGACACTTAAGCAGAGTTGAAAAGGCAAAAACAGAGCCTCAAAATGGCACAAGCAGCAACATTTTGGCCGGCACATGGCAACCGCAGACAGCCAATGGCAACAGGCCCCATTTAGGTTCAAAAGAAGCCAACCGCCAAGACCCGAGACGGGGCTCTGCTTGGCCGATCATTATCTAAGCCGCATATCCATTTGCGATTACCAAGGAGCAGCAGCAACACAGCCCGAGCATAGGCTGTAGTTGGAGCTTGAGGATGAGGCTGAGGCTCAATCGTGGGAGTCTCTAGCTAGGGCTGTCGCCCGTCTTCGTCTTCGGTCCGTGGCAATGCGGCAACGTGGTGGCAGACGTGGGCGCATAAAACAGACAAATGTCAAAATGACGCGCTTTGTTGTTTATCATTTTTACCGCAAGCCGCAACGAGGGGAAGAGCCGCTGGAGATTGGCGGGTCTATAAAGCAGGCAAAATGCAATTAGTATTCAAATGTAGACGCGCCAACGAGCACGATGCCAAAGCGAGTCATCATCAGCTCTGGAACTTTTACTTGGACAACGACACAGCCGACTCTGGCGACTGGGTCTGGCTTGAACTGAAGAACTGGCGGCCGCAAAGGAGAGCGGCCCTCTTTACATGCTGAAAAATGTCTAGGCTTTTGTGGCTCAGAATTCGCCGTAATTTAGCGCACGCATTTTGCATTTTAAGTGCGTCGACGACTGCGATGACTATGGGTCCCACTTCTGATTAATTCCTCAGCCGGGCGCTACAAATTCGTTTGACTAATTGCGGCTTAGGGAGAGGTCTCGGTCTTGCTCTTGCTCTTGTTCTGGCCCCAGTCGCTGTCGCAGTGGCGAAGAGGATTCCATGGAACACCTTATCGGCCGCAATTAAACGTGCCGTCCAGTCAAACGATTTAATGTATGATTTCTTTCAAATCATATCTACGTGACTGTGACTCAACCTTATCAGCATGACCAGCTCCGACTTCATCTGGATTCCCATCTCTAGCCCCAGGCCCAGCCCCAGCTCCAGCTCCAGCTCGAGCTGCAAACTCATTAATGACAGAAACCCCGGGCGGCCGGCCTCTCAGATGATTCAATATGGCTGCAAGTTGCATATTAAGCAGCTAGGAGCTGGTCCCATCATCGAATATGGTTGCCACAGTCCCAGCCCCATCCATGCCAATTTTCTGTTATATAACCATAAATAAAAAAGGAAAAATAAAAAAACATTGAAAAAGCAACACAAAATGTGTCGTGGGCGCTATCAAACGACTCCACGGACAGATCCAAACAGTTGTAAAATTAACAACCGAGTTATGACAACTGCCAGCAATTAAAAATGAAAATTGATATGACAGACGGGCTGGCTGGCTGGCAGGCTGGCAGGATGGCGGGCGGGCGTCCACGGAGGAGAACGACGTGGATGAAAATTGACAATAAAAACGCATTGAATCGTCGAGTGTTGGATGACTGACTTACAGACTAGCTGTCCAGGGAGTGGTTCTTGCAAATGGCCGTAGACTGTGCGATGCATAACAGGATGGTTGAAATGTAACCGAAACTTCAATTGGTTGTAAATAGATCGATAGCAGAGTTAGATCTTATATCTTTGTAGTTATAATACGATGGTATTATAATAACGAGCTAAAATATGATAGTAAATCCAAATTAAATCAGGCATTGATAATATTACGGGTTTTCCATTCCAGGTTAGGTTCCAAAATTTCAGATAACTCGAATCTATTTTTCTGTATATATTTTACTATCTTTTGAATAACCATAACACCTTTAAAATTTTATATAAACTTAAAAATCACATTCAAATTATTTAAAAACATCTGAATTTCCCTTTATAATTAAAGTCGACAAAAAGACGATCCAGTGTTTTGATTGCTGAAGAACAAATAACTATAACGCCACAATTGTTCGCCTAGGACTTCAGACTCTTCGATAGCTATCAGGAAACCACATCTTTATAGCCCTCCTGAACGGCATTACCAACGGCGCTGCACGTAACTTTTAATTGTGAAGACCCGCTGTATATGCTGCCCAAATGTAATTGCAACAATTTGTGGCAGATCTACACGAACTGCGGCCAGATCCGTTGCATGGCGAGCCATTTTCGTTGCACAAATATGACAATTGGCGGCATTATTAAATCGTGCTACGTGCGCTAAATCTGCCGACATCAGAGAGAGAGAGAGAGCGATAGCGCCCGAAAAAGGGCACACTGCAGCCTGGTAGGGCCAAAACAGGTGAGCAACGTTAGTGCCGTTACTCCCACTGTTGTGATAGTTGTGGTGGGGACGGGGACGGGGACAGCCACAGCAGTTGGCCAGGTCAGAGGCAGGAGGACTGGTGGACAGGACAGGGACAGTTGCTGATAGCGCACTCAATTTGCATTCGGACGAGAAGGAATGGCCAAACCAGGTGGAATGACTGCCAGCCAATTACTTTTTATAACTTTCTAGCTGGCACTTCAATCTCGCCCAGGAATTGGTTTTGCCAAAGAGTTGACAGGTTCTCTGGCAGATGCGTAATCAGTGCCACAAAGGCAGCCGCCCGCCCACACATTAACATAATATTACGAGAGGGCTTTAATTAAAAAACCAAGAGCCCAACCCTACGAGTATTTTGTCAGCCCAAATTTTTTCTTCTGGGCCCTGCCAAAGTTCCACAAAGTCGTTGGCCATTCCCTGTGTGAGGAAAGAGCTCTCCTGCCTGAAGCATTTAAGGCTGCCCATCCGGCACAGACAATTAAAAACCCTCTGCAGCCCTGCCATTTGCCATTTTATAAGCACAGATTACAGCGTACACGTATACGTAACGCACACACAGAGAGAGCAGAAGGATGAGGAGGACCCTGTGGAAGGACACACACAAACGTGGTCCGATAAGCGGCCAGGACGAGGGCGCCCGCCCATCCACACATTCGACTGTCTCTCCTATCTGCTCGGTGTTGTGATTTTATGTTGGTCATAGCCCAGCGTTCCCAACGTCCTGGTCCCTGATGCTCCTCCTCATTGTCTGCTTGTCTACTTTAATGACATTGCACTGCACTTATTTCGTTTCAACTCCTTTCATTTCTGCCTTCCTTTTTTTTTTGTTGTGTGGAGC